AAAAAAAAGTTATTATTTTCTTAAATAGAAAACCTATATGGTCACAGATGGTTAACTTGATGTCTAACTCAGGTAAGTGAGATTCTGCTAATAAGGTGAATAGAATTCATATCATTCAAGAGCTCTTTGATGAAGATAATTTAAATGAATAAACAGTGTATGTAATAGACTGCTGTCAGATTCATTATCCGATGTGCTCCAAGTAGAAAAAAAGTGCCATGTACAAGAGTTAAGATTTGGCTGACAAGACTTCCAAGTCAGCATCTAAAACAGTGAAGTGGAAGTCATTAAACCAAATGCTAGACTTGGTGTTAAGGCTTGATGCTACTCTGCGTTTTGCTCATGAGCTTAGGACCACTGGTGAGTATCATCCAAAAGCAAAATAGCTGGATGTCAGTGTTTGAAGTGGTAAGACAAAACAATCTTCCTTGGTTGGTAAATTAGTCTCATTACGAAGTGGGTAAAAAACACCCAAACCCTATGATGCTTTTATAGACTCAAATGCAGAGTTACACATAAAAAAAAGAAGTAAAAAAACCCAAACAACCACCAAACAAAAAAACAAGGGATGCAAAACATTGGACTACAATACAAGTCTTGATGGCAAAAAAGCAGTTTAACCATTATTATATTGAAAAAAGATTACTTTGCAGGTAAGTCAAACTTGTATTTTACTACATATAATTTGAATTTTTCTAAGAATGCTGCTTCTCACATCACAATACATAAAATCCTTTTCCTCTTACCTCACTTGTCCAGAGAAGACTGGATATAGAATGTAATTTAAATATGTTGCTACATTGACTGTGTATAACCTCTGCTCCTAATCAACAAATTATATAAAGCCAAGAATCATTCAAAGGTTACATCCTGACAGTCCCTCTCGGAAGTCAAGATGGCTGTTCCCACGTTTATGATTTTCTCTTTTCCTTAAATCAAGCAATAACCAACATCCTTTGCTTTTCTCCCTTTTCCTAAAGTATTTTAGTCACCCTTATCTACAACACTAGAAGAAACAGTTATATTGTAAACCCAGCCCCTCTTCCCACAGGTATGTGGGGAATTTTGGTGTAAATTCTATTAGGTTGAATGAACCCTGAGGGTTCAACAAGATTAAACAGAAATACATTGCTAAGCTAGAATTCTGTAAATATTTACACATAAATAAAAAACAAAGTGTCAAACATTAATTTCTTAGCCTATGCTTATGGAATAAAGCCCACTAACTTTGCTTTTGTTGGTAAAAATAACTTTTAGGATGAAAGTACGGTACCTTTCCAAAGGAGATGACAGTTCTTAGATTTTACATTTTCATTCAAACTTTTCAGCTGTTTGAGGAAATGCACTGATAGCTTCTGTAAAGGTTTATATTATCATTTGTTACTCTTGTAACTTTTGGCCTACTGTGAACAAAGTTAGCTTATGTACATTACAGTTAGAAGGCATTTCTTTCCCTTAGGGCTCTCCATGTAGGTTTGCATACTTAATGCATGAAATGCAGCTGTAGCTAGAGTATGGAAAAAAACGTAAGAATTGATGTTGGCAGAATAATTTTTCCAGAAGGTACAACAGAAAAGAATGGGAATGGGTTGATCTTCCAAAGAATTGCTTCAATAAATACGATTCAATATTGAAGGTGAGGAAAAAAAAAAATCAGACACTTTACCACTTAGTTTTTCAGTGATTGCTCTCTGCCATTGTTGGTGTATTGACTTTTGTTCCAGTACACTCACCTGAAGCCTCTCTAGTCCTCCTGAGGACTGAAGTTCTGTAGGCATGTTAGATAAAAGACTGGGAACACCTAAAAAGGCTGACTTTCCAGAACCATCAGCATTCATGAACAAATAAAAGACTCATGGATGTGTCTCTAATCAAACACCCTCAGCTTGCTATACAGCTATTCACCTCTCTCCTCATCTCTAAACCTGGAGGGATTAAGCTAAATTAGTTACTTAAACTACAACAGATCTCTTACTCTAGAACTGGTTTTATCATAAGAAAACTGGGATGGTTTCTATAATTTCAAAAAAATCTCAGTTTATATATAGTTATCTCAATTGCATGTAGCAGATAAAACCATGCAATTTATTTCCTATCACCTATCCTCAGAAAGCTATAAACACATGGCTTCAGAACTGTAAGCAGTGCCAGGTACTAACTGATAACAAGAGGGTAAATTCCCCACTTCTTCAGAAAACAGAGACCACAACCCATAACTGATCTTTTCACCTGACATCCTAGTTACAGGCTGTGTGTGTATTAGCTGTTTTAAGACTCACACACTCAAAACCAGCAGCAGATATAACACAAACTTTTTCTACACTGAAACAGTTTATCAGTGGCAAGGAAACAGAAAAGAATTGTGTAATATTCTGAAGTTAATTTTATATGACGGTAGTTTTATTTCCAGCACCTGAAAAAAAAAAATATCTGAAGTGTCAGTACTACTGAACAGAGGCTGACAGGCTCAATCAATTGTGGGCAACATATCCTATTAAAAACACTACAATGCTTTTTATAATTAGTAGAATATAAAATCTTTGGAAATCAGGTATTTTAAATTGTTTTTAGATTTGTAGTAGTAAATACTGATTTTTCCCTAAAACAGCTGAAGTTATTTCTGATTTCAATACTGAAATTTCCCTAGTCTCTCTTCCCTGCATTCTGTGTCTCATAACTTTCAAGTTCCATTAATTTATCTGTGCATCCTCTCTATACAGACTCTCATATAGAAAAAGGGCACAAAAAAAGCCCAAGAAAAAAGAAATATCTTGAACTAAAATACTTTTCACATTTGGTGTGAGAGGATTTCAAGTCAAATGGACTCATCTTTCAAATAAGCTCTATCTTTAAGACTGCTGTACCTTACATTTAGTATGATACATACAAAGGCTTATTTAAATATGTTACTGCATGAATATTAAAATATCTAATAAGGTTATAAACTGTGTTATAGATAATTTGAAATAAAAACCCTAAAGGATAAGAAGGTCCATAAATAGAGATATCAGAAGAGATGTTAGTTTAAGTTGAGGACTGATTTAATGAACCCTCCATGATCTAGATGCTTGAAAGAGATGGGAGAAAAAACAACCCAGATGAAGTGATAATTACTTAAAAGCTAAGAGACAAAGGTGCTGTTCAGAAACAGTAAAGGAAGCCAGAGAATTATGCAGAGTCAAGATTTTTTTGCGACAGTTTTGCTCACAGAAGGTAAGCATTGGTCAGATGCCTGAAAGTGCTGTTGTGACTATGAACTTACAGGAATTCATTGACTCTGGTATCGTGCTGGAGGAGTTGTAAGGCCCATAAAGGAAGGCTGATGAGTACTCATCTGTCACGGCGCTGTGAAAACTGGTTTGGCTGCTCAGGTTGTTGCCACTACTGCTGTTTCTGTTGTATAAGTTGTTGTTCAGTTCATGGTTATTTCTGTGAGGCAGCTGCAAGCTGCCATTCAAGTGGCTGGAGATTTGGCTTACAGAAAGACCTGTCCTAGTGGACAATGATGTCCTTTTGCTCTCATCATCATCTGAAGCAGCATACAGGTTCCCTAGAGAACTGGCTAGTCTGGAGTTTATGGAAACGCTGAATGGAAAACACATGCGGGGAAAAAAAATATACACAGGTATGTACAGATATACACAAAAAATGTCAAATCAGAAGACAATACATGGATAGCATAGATAATTCTGAAATAATTTGTGTTTACACTCAGGTTCATCTTCTAGCTCTCAGATAATGAAAACCAGAATTCTTTGTCAGGAGTTCCCAAACTTCGTTTATTCAATCACTACCATGGCTTTCACTTGTCAAACCACAGGCACATGCAGGAGATTGTGTTCAAAGGTTTAGGCAATGGCTGATCTACATTGGAGTACTCTGTGGACATGTTACAGTTTAAGAACTCCTCTTCTGTTTCTTGAACCATACTACTTCTGTAACCAAGAAGTAATATGATAAAATTTGAGAATAAAAATAGGGTGTCCTGAAATATCTCTAAGTTAGTTCATTTGTTCAAGTAAATATTTGTGTCTAGAGTATTAAAAAAGCATCAATCATTCTAAATTTAATTTAACATGCATAGTTACTTAGTACAATAGTAATAATGGAATTAAATATAATAAATAAAAGATTAATAAAAACTGTATTAACTACCACTCAGTGTTCTTCTGAGATTAATAATAACTTGTGGGAATACCTGCAAAACTTCTAAAAACTGACGAGTTAAAAAAAAAAATCAACCTCACAAACCTCAGCAACGTAATATGGTTTCTGACTTGATATAATCCCAAAACTCTCATACCAGTAGTACAGGTTTTGGGTTTTGATTGCTTTTTAAATCTGCAGGCAACTAATGTTCGACTAGTGTACAGCAAATCCCTTTGTAAGTAACTTTAAGCCTTCTTACACCCAAGAACAGCAAGCGTGTCGCAGACTGCATATGTGCTGAAAACCATTGTAGTATACAGTAAATACTTGTACCAAAATAGTAATAAGAAAAAAACCTTTTAAGATTAGAGCCTGAGGATGTGGAAAATCTGCTTATTCTTTCTGCAGACGGTGAATTAATTGCCATCACTTTGGAGGCCTTCAGAGGAGACATGGATCCTTCTGTGCTACCTGAAGAATTCAGTCTAAAAGGAATACAGAGGTTTAGTGAGAAGCAAGATTTTTTATAACTAGAATATATATCTCAGAAACACATATCCTCTCTCAACACATAAACTGGTATTTTAAAAAGTGGGATTGCTCAAGTCTGAGTACCGAGAACTCAACAGCAAAGATTAAACATTTTGCCTATTTTCAAGTATCTTAAAAAAAATTCTTCTCAAATATCCCACTCCCAAGTTTTTCTCCTGCTGTACCATATTGTACACTTATAGGCTGCTTTTCACCTTGTTAATTTGTGAAGGTTACTTGTCCATTTTGTATAAAATTTACTGTAAATTTGATTATAAATTTTAAATATTGTAAGTTTAAGAAAAAAATTCCTTTTGTGCTTATAAAGCTAGTACGAGTAGAAAAAAAACAACTCTAGTTTTCATGAGAACATCATCCCTTCCAAATGACAGCAAGACCATTTTAACAAAGTTGCACAGAACACACAGCTCTTTCCAGGCTGCGAATCCTAATGACCAAATTCTTCACACTTTGATTATGAGTGGTAAGTACAATACACTGGACCACTAAAAAAGCTATCATATAGCTGTCCATAATAATTTAATAAAAACTAATAAACAAATAGTATGTATCACAGTATTATGAAATTCTCTCCATCCTTAGACTAGGGGACATTATAATGATCAGCTCTTAAAGGATTAAAGATCTTGGGTACAAGCTACAACCATACAAGGAATGACACTAAGCAGAAGTAGATTTAATTCTACACCAAGAAAGGGTAATCAAGACATCAAGGTTAGATATCTGGAGTAACCCATCTCAAAAATCCAGCTTGTCACAAAATGGAAAATAATGTATTCTTTTCAATATGAACACTTTATAATGACAGATTATTTTGTCTTCTATGTTGTGTTTAGGATGCAATGGTTACAAACCCAAAAGACTCAATTCTTCCATTCTTAGAACTTTTAAAATTATGTCAACTTCCACGCTATGTTTTATTTTCTTTGGGAGGGGAGGGCATTGTCAGTATGGATTTAAGATTAGTACAGGTCATAAATAAAATAAACGCTTAGAAAATAAGAATAAACTATTGGCTTTATTGTCTGAACAAAGTCTGTGGTGAGTACAGTGAGGACCCTGGAATAAAATACAAGAAGTTACTAAAACTCAGTCTATCTGGTACATAATCTAAAAAAAGTACTGAATATGTCCACTAAGTAATACCTCTAGTTCATCTACCACAATACACCTGATGAAAATTGTGATATGCAAACAATATGCAGCCAACTTAGGCTTTTGAGAGAAGTATTTAATTTTACAGAGAAGGTGGTTATGAGTTAACTAATTATCCTTCATTGCAAAACAGCATAGATATGAGAAAATGTGACTGAGGAAATTACTTATATGTGCTAGTTTCTTATTAAGAATTCAACATATCTCTGAAGTACAGCTATACCCCTCTGTCCATTCCCCCGTATCTGCAGGTGATTAGAAAAGTTTGTTCCCTGCCATTTCTCAGAAATCTGAAATTGCTGATCAACTGATGTGACAAGTATAATTCAAAACACTGAAAATTTAAGACCTGAGTGGTGTACATGTAAAACTGTAATTTTCAAGTCAATACCTGAAAGGTTGTGATATTGACCTGGTGTGCAGTTTCATGTCTTGCAGCCTGAAGAAACAAAAGCAGAAATCTTTATCAAAGGATAAAAAGCCTTTCCCCTCTCCCAAAGCACACCTGCATGTCTCATACTGGCTCTGAAGTAGAAGACTAGCAAGAGTTAAGAATTATTGCCAACCATTATTTTAATTTACAGCTAACAGAGAGGTACTTCAGGTTTATTTCCAAAGTTTTTATTAGTTCCATAAAATGAAAAATTTATACAATAAATACAGAAATCAATTACAGAAAGATAACCAAGTTCACTGAAGAATATTTTGAGACCTAAGTTTTAGAATTCTACATAGACATACTTCTACATGCTGAGTAGATATTCTGAATAGAAATGAATAAACCAAATCTGCAACTAGATATATACTTCCATTTCCACCACAGGAGGTGGTAAAAGTAGCACCACTGCTTTAAGCATGGCCACCATGGACTAAATTTAAATTTGCAAATTACCCCAAAATTAAATTACCTCAGAGCTCCAGTTGTAGCAGAACACGTACGTCTCCGACTTTTTAAGGCATTAAGCTTATCTCCCTGTGTCATGCCATTCTGACCTTCCACACCTGCTTTGTCTTCAAAATCATTCTGGGAAACACAAAGTATGCAAACTAGGAAATGTATAAAATTCTCAGGAGTAGTGTAGTTCCAAAGTATTTAACATCTCCTTCACAATGATTATAGTTTAACAGGCTAATCTACAGTTTTCTGCATACACAGAACACTATTCTGACTCGGCATAATTCCGGTAAATTCCACGTGTCACTGCCCAAATGCACACACAGAGAAGCTTTTTGCAGGATCTGACCTCAAAGTCAGTTCAGGATGCTCGAGTCTAACACTGGCATTTATTTACTTTGAAGAAGTTTGCTTTTATAGAACTTACACTCCAACTCCTTGCTCCATAACCATTTCTAAAGTTATAATCAGTGTGGAAGGGAAGCAGTAACACAATTTTGTGATATGCATAAGTTGAGGAAGAAACTTAGCTAAAGTTGTGTGTCCTTCAAGAAGAGCTAGAAGTCAACTTTCCAAATATTTTTTTAAAAATGAAAAATTCTCCTGACCTCTAGAACAACAGTTTTGAAAAGAATTCCCTATGACAACTTAGTAATAACTTAAGCAGGAGTATAAGATGAACAGATTTCAGAGTTTTATCCTACTTCTTCTAGCTTTAGAAAATATTATAAACTCTAATAATTAGAAGTGTAGGCCAACACTGTTTAAATGCCTATTTGTAGGCACAAAACAGACTTTTCTAAGACCTAATTATTAAGCAGAGAAGTATGAAAGTTACAAAGCAAAGAGATCTGAGATTTTTTTTAATTGCCAAAGGAAAAAAAAACTTTAGACCAATTACGATTCATTTGACCTCAGACCAAGTATTTGTATTAGTGCTATTCCTATTGTGCCTAAGTGACCTCACTGTTCTGCATAAAACAGAACAATCCTTTCTGTCACTAACCAAGATGAAACATTGACAGCAGAAGTAATAAAATGTAAGTAAATAAAATGGTGTAGTGGTCCAAGTATTGCATCAATTACAGGAAAATATAAATATTTTAGCTAGATTTCATTGAAGATTATATGCCAGGCCACTGTTACTTGCCATTCAGCATCAATGCTGATACATTTTGTTTCACTGTCTTTACTTGCCCAACAGTTATTACATGTAGATGTTCCAACCTCTGATTCTTAGACCGTATGCATTTCTGGGACATTACTTTGTGTTGAGCTTCTAAAGATCCTAGTATAATGAGGCCTTGAAATATAACCAAATATCCACAGAGATAGAGAGGTAAGTTAAAATGTCTTGAAAACTGAATGTTAAACAGCTTTAATATGACATACGTAAAAAACTGAAATTAGTATATTACAGAGACAGTTATAGTAGAAAAAAGCAGCACTGTGAATTTGTATTGTTAATCTCCACATAAGATGCTACACAGTGTACAGGTAGTTGAGTTACCTGCAAGTAAGTTGCCTGGAACACTGGAAGCAAAGTTGTAGTAGTAGCTCAGATGCAAAAACATTACTTTTAAACATGTGGTTATGTGACAGCTGTTTTCACTAGGCATGCAAGATCACCTCTACACAGTATTGTGTTACCAAATTAATAATCTAGATATTTACCTTTACATATTCCAAGCCACAAATTTAACTTCCAAAAGAAAAACAGTACCTTTATAAAAATGCATTCAAGGTGCGCATCCACATTATGATGCTTAGTTTAATTTATCATAACTACCTGAAGAAGGTGCCCCTGGTCTTTTACACCAAGTAAAGGATTCTGTCAGCAACATAAAAGCTTTTAAGTTATTAGAGATCTAAGACAGGATAAATCCAATACATTGTTCCTCTAAACTGCTTCTCACAGATACTGTAGGAAACTAAAGTTCAGATTTATTTTTTTACTAGTCCAGAAGCAGAAGGATGTTTACTTTAGCTTATGCTTCATGCCTATGCTTCCAATAAATAATTTTAAGGTCCATACCCTAAATGTACACATCATGTCAGTAATACATAACACTGTGATAAAGGGATGGACATCTCATACATAATTAGCTAGAAATCAGCTAGAACCTTTGAATAAATAGGCTTCAGGAGGAAAACTGATTTTTTTCCCCTCCATTCTCCAACAAACAACTGAAGACCCTGAAAGACTTGAAATTATCTGTAACAGTTTTAAATATAACCTAAGGTTTTCTCTTTTTTAAAGAAGTTTGTTCTAATTATAACCCCCCAAAAATTGTGTGGAAAAGCAATCTAGTACTAATATAAGCCTAAAAACAACCAACTAAAATTTAGCTATAGCTAATTATTAAAAGATCAGCTCCATCTCTGCTTGTTTGAAATTTTCCCTATGAACTCTTACCTCCCTGTACTGATCCAAGTCTTGTACTTCATTCATGCTGTCACTGATAGAAATGTCATTCAAGCCACAAAGAACTCTATTAATGTTTCCATCAACTACTTGTTTCTGCTTTGATCGGATGAGATCTCCCTCCAGCCATAACATTGCTTGCTTCCTTTAGGATACAAAACAAATCGATTCATAGAAACAAATCTGCATACATATAAACAATACAAAAACATCTTACTCTTACAGATTGCCAACATTTAAATCTTCTGTACATCTTCATGTCACAAAAAATATTTGAATTTCTATCAGGAAAAAAACACTCATGTAATTTCCATCGTTAAAACAACAATTCCCCCCACTCCCCTGAAATCACCAAAGAAGTCTGTACCTACCACAGAAATACCACAGGTACTAAAACTTCATTTTTCAAGAATCCTATTGTGAAAATAAATTAACCAACAGGAATTTGTAACAGGAATTTCAAAGCTTTTAAAACACAAATTCATATAAAATAATGCTTTAAATAAATGATGATACAACATATTCTAATTTCTTACTAGCGTGAGTTTTGTGTATACGTATTGGGCAGGAAAACTACAGCTGATTTGCACAGTAGAAGTGGTCATAGTCATGTGAAGTTGAACAGGACTCAAGTCTATTTTCAGAAAATGAAAGATTATATCCTTCAGACAGGTGGTTAAAAATAAATTACTGAATTGCTACAATGTATATGGGCTAAGCAGGCTTTTGTTGATGAGACTGCATTGTCCCTCAATGAGGAAGTCTGCTGGGTAACTTGTCAAGCTAGTTTCATCCAATTAACTGAGATCTTATTACATATTATTGTAACAAAATTAAATTCCTACACTGAACAGAAGAAAAGGAAGAATGAGGAATTTAATCACTGGAAACTGTTCTTTGTTTGGAAACAAAAATCTTGTGGCTAAGAGCCAAGTAGTCTGAGTCAACTGCTTAAACCTGCTCAATAATAAATGAAGAAGGTAAGAAGTTCCAGAATATTTTCACCATGTCCTAAGAAAACATAAGGGAAAAGGAGGGAGTGGAGGGAAAAGGAGCACCACCTATCCACCTAACAGAAATAGCCTAGAAAACGTTTGAATTTAAATACTTTTGAAATCTTGTAAGGATAATTGCATTAACAGTAGCAAAATGATTGGATATGTACTTGGGTGGGAGGGTCTCTACAAAAACACTACTCCAACTCCCTCATTGAGCCTCAAGGAACTTAAGATATGGAGCTTTGACATCTATCAAGGCTGGCAGATCAAAGCTGCAAGATTTTACCTTTTTGCCAGATGCAACTTAACAGTCCTAAGGGCAAAGTATGTTATATTAGAATGATGTAACTGACAATAGTTCCTTCTTTCTCTATCCCATTTTGACACTACTGGTGACATTGCTTGAATTTTTTCTGATAGTCGAAACACCTATCTATTCTATTGCCATTAGGACAACAGAAAATTCTTTCTGAACAATACGACAGCTTGTAGCTATGAATAACTATGAATAAGCAATAATGAAAAAATTCTGAAGGATTTTTGCCTATCTATAGAATCAAACTAAGTATTTATATGCCACTGCAGAAAAGACGTAGGCTCTGATTTTCCTATCTTTCAAGTAAACAGCTCTTACTAAATCACACTACCTACCACCTTTCTCCCTCAGTTTTGCTCTATTGTGGAAGCTATTTTTTAAGAGTATATCAGGCAAGCATCAGCCCTGGGTGCAGAAGTTTAATCTGCCTTCAGCAAGCACCTGTGGTTTGTGAAAGTGTGTGATTCACAGTATTTTGAATAACAGTGGGCCACGTCGCAAATAAGGAGTGCCCATTCCGTTGCACTGGAAAATAAACAGGAATTCTCATTCATGCTCAATTTCTCTTATGAATTACAGTAATACTCCTTTCTCTCTGATATCCTATGTATTTTTGGGTGCAAGGTCAGCGCATGATGTATGGTATTTACGCAGTATCCAGCAGAGCTGTTACATTCTTTTTTTCGAAAAAGAGACAAATTTTCCTCAAAATGTCTTTTTCTCAAAACAGTGAAAATGTCTTCAGCTAAATATCATTGTGGTATCAAGAAAGACTAGCATAACCACTATAACAGTAAATGTGCAATGTACAAACCACTATGAAATTTAACTTGGCACACACATCAGTGAAACCAGTGCAATTTTGCCAGCCACATCCAGTCAGGGTCAAACATCCTGCATATACTGTGCTAGGAATATGACATATCATACGGTATCCACCCCACACTTATTTAATATCTAGTTACAAAGAAGAAAAAACTTTATCAATTATACTATCTTAATTTTAAATGTCATCACAGGCTATACATCAAGTCTATCCTTTCTATGTTAATATTTTAATATTTTTATTGTTGATTTTATCTTTTGTCCACATCTGGACTTTACACTTCTAACACATTTAACTCCAAAATCTCACAGAACACAAATCTGCAGATTCTTGAGACCCTCTGCCCCTTAGGATAACAAAATGCATAGCACTCCAGGTAAGACAATTGCTACTAAGTGTGTTCAGTTTCAATCCCAAATTAACTAACCTTAAATGTATTGCAACAGGCAATAATATATGACATCAGTAGATCCTATAAATAGCGCAAGATGGATAAAGATGTAGAGAAGCAGATGATTCTTAGAAAAAAGAAGGTATACATACTCTTCCAAGAAGTGTTGCTGGGGTCCTATTATAGAGCCTGGCCGACATATTCTTATCCAAGCAATGGCTTCAGCATGTGTGAACTTGTAATGTTTCATTATGTAACAGGCAATTAATGTTCCTGTTCTCCCCAGGCCAGCTACAGAAACAAAAAAATATCAACATTCACACACAAAGCCATGAACACTTCATAATAATCAAATTGAAGTATGGGATACAAGACTTTTTTGCAATATTATTTGCCACTTTAATATTTGAAGAAAGAATCTCTAATTCAGTTCCCATTTATAACTGCTATATATATAAGAACAAATCATACTTATAAAAAGTTAACAGCATTTAAGAACACATGTAATTGTGATCACTCTTGGCACTTGTACAATTCTATTTAAGTTTTCTTTTTTTTAAAAAAAAAGAGGCTGATATGTTTAAAAAGCTGTGACTGAGTTGGATACAAAGTTCAAAATCATTAAACCTGTAAAAAACAAAAGCAAAGTACCTTTCACAGGCCAACACAGATACTTTACAAATCAAGGTCCAAACACATGCAAATACATGTGCACATCAAAAGATATCAGCATCTGTCTTCTCAGCCAGTGGCTTTTTCTTTTTGAATCAGTTTTATTGTGAAACCAACCTGTAAAACTGCACTATCTATATAAAAAGCAATGAATGTTGACCAGCATATATTTTTTTATTATCAATAGCTTAAAATAACTTTTTGCTCCTGAAATCACAAACTAACCCTGGTTTTAAGGGGAGATTGAGAAAGAAAAACTAGCTTTTACTACCAGACAACTCTTGAACTACAGAGTAAGAATTAATATCTTTCTAGCCATCTGTCTTATCTATAATAAAGCGTCTCCCCAATTAAACCTTATTTTCCCACAATAACTGTATCTGCAATTTACAGTGGCCGGCTATTTTTATGCACCAACAGCTACCTAAATGGAAGTGCTCAAAGCAGCCAGGCATCCTTGCTGACAATTCTATACACGACTACAAACTCTTTACATTTACCCAATAACTAAATCTTACTGTGACTTTCTAAAAAGTTAAGATGATTCAGGTAAAAGGATGAAGTTAGAAGTTCACAAATAGTGACATTCCGTAACTGTATATTGAAGACTAGCTCTGAACAATAATTTTAAAAAAGGAAGTATTGTTAGAGAGAAAGTTTTTGGCTTGGAGTTTTGGTTTTGAGGGTTTTTTTAAATGCAAAAGGAATGCAACATGCAAACAGGTAGCCAAGTACTACACTACACATATATCTGCACAAGAAAACTGCCTCTGAAAATTGCAGGTATCATTTACCAACTGCATACATCACTGACACATCAGTTCTCTTCTCTAAGTTCCTTCTATTCTATAAACTAATCATAGAATCATAGAATCTTAGGGGCTGGAAGGGACCTCGAGAGATCATCTAGTCCAACCCCCCTGCCAGAGCAGGGTCACCTAGAGTACATCACACAGGAACTCATCCAGGTGGGTTTTGAGTGTCTCCAGTGAGGGAGACTCCACAACCTCCCTGGGCAGTCTGTTCCAGTGCTCTGTCACTCTCACAGTAAAAAAATTTTCTCGGATATTCACCTTGAACCTCCTATGCAAAGGGTTGCTGTGGAAAAAGCATTCTATAACTTCTGGGACAAGCAGTTTCTACTGTAGAAGCAGTACTTAGAATACTTCTGCAATAAGGGTAGAACTACAGATAACTAACTCTGAATTAACTGGTCATTTAGCTTTGTATAGACTTATTCAGAAGGGTGTAAAAACCTAAAAAATTAGACTGTTGGTTTGCTTAACAGTAAATGGTCAGATGAAAGATAAAAAATAGTTCAGTTTAGCAACTGCATATCTAAGTCACTAGAAAAGTTTATTTTGTTCCTTTAGCAACTAAGCCTGGAGAATAACAACCTACTCCTGCTAATCAATAATTTATACTCTTGTTTAGTCAATTAGTAGATGTCTAGCTTATTAATGCTAGAATTTCTGGGTTCTAGCCACAGTAAAAACTTGTTAGCAAATAATCTTATTTATCTCTCATATGCATGTTTATTTTTCATGGAAAAATTATGAATAGCACTATTGTTTCAGATCAGCAAGACATTTGTCTTCACAATGTCCTTACACAGCTCTAAACATAAATCAAGTTGAAACCCTTCAAAGCCTTTGTTAATAGTTCTTGACTAAGCATGTTGTGTGCTTTTTTCTGGCTGATTTGCTGAAATAGGCTGGTTTGAAATGCTGGTATCACAATAACTCACATTAACTTGAAGTCATGCTCCACAGAAAAATGTAGAACAGTCCAAAACCACAAAGAAAACTTTTCAATCTTTTGCATTTCCTAGCCAATTATCACAAGGCTTTGAAAGCATAATGCAAAACAGAAATCTCCATCAACTAAAATTCATGCCTTTCAAGAGATTAAGAAAAACAACAATGAACAACAGATCATCAGTTACTGTAAGCAGTAGTGTAGGATGAAAGAACTTGGTATGCACATGAAAACAACAAATATTTGTCATAAAGCAGTATTACTTTCACATCCAGAAAGTGAAGTGCTATTTTAAAATGCTTTATTTCTGGAATAAACTCTATGGATTTACATGTATTTTGAACCTTGCTCTGAGAAATAAGTGCATATACCTTTACAATGTACAGCAATGGCACCATCAGCATTTTCACAGATGTTCAGGAACCTCTGAACTATACTGTCACTTGGTGTGCTTCCATCTATGAAGAACAGGTCATAATGCTCAAAACCAGCATCAGTAAAGCGTTTTGCCTCATAGATTTTTTTGTTTAGTCTTATGATTGATGTGACATTATGTTTCTTGAAATAGGGAAAGTAGGCTTCAGGTGCATGAAGAGGATAACCTACAAAAACATAAAGCAGTGAGTATTTAAGGTCACAGGTGAAGTCCAAAGGCCTGGTAATCAAAATTGCCCCCAAAACCTTTTTTTGAATTATTATAAACATGTTAATACTGAAAATGCTTTATTTTATTCAGAATAAACATGTAAAGTAGTATTTTAGAATTTTAGAAAATACTCATGAAGACCACTATAATTAAAGGATCAAACTGTCTCTTGTTTAGCCCATTCCCCTCTATAAGTAGGGTTTTATAGATTCATAGAAAAGTTAAGGTTGGACAGGACCTTGAAGACCATCAGGTTCCAATCTCCCTGCTGTGAGCAGGGACACCCCACACTACACCAGGCTGCACAAAGCCTGGGCAACCTACTCGCAGTGCCTTACTACCCTCATGGTGAAGAATTTTTTCCTGATGTCTAACCTAAATCTCCCCTCTTTCAGTTTAAAACCATTACCACTTGTCCTATCACTGCCCTCTCTGCTGAAAAGTCACTCCCTAGCTTTTCTGTAAGCCCCCTTTCATATAAAGTGAGGCACATACACAAATTCAGTACTTCAGAACAGCTCTTTACACTCAAGCTGCAGGTCAAAGAATAAGAACATACTTTAAGAGAAAACACTGTGTTTATGAGGAAAAATAGATTGGTGATCTATGCTGTGGACAAGAAAACAGTGAAAAGGATAAATTAGCACCAGAAATATTATTCCACCATGAAGTAAAAAGCTTCAGTGCTTTTATTCAGCTGAGAGACAAAAGGATCCTCTAGTTGAGGACAAGGAGGCAGGGAGGGAGAGCAGAGACCAAACACACCACAGCTGTTAAGGACACTTTCAACAAATAGACATTCCCTGTCGAGGAGGGCACGAGGGATTGTGCGCACATGCACACATCTGTATGATGTATGTATGGAAAATGTAGTTGTTTCTTTTTCATTAACAATTAAGTCTTCTAAACAAAACTCAAGAATGACAGCTACCACAAAACTCAGGAAGTCTGTAATTAATCAAATTTACTAGATTATCTCCAGAATTGTTATTCCTGTTCAAATTAAGTCCAACAGCTTCATCACAAAACAGGGGTCTTTTCCACAAGTCATATCTGCATTAGTAAAGGAAATTAGAGTCACAATATTAAAAAAAAGTAACTTTGTAATATGTACTTACACTCACCTGCGTGAGGCTTATTTGTAGTCTCATAAATAGATTTTAATTTACTAGTTTTCAGTTATATACATGTTAAAAATAAAACACCAGTTTTCCAAGTCCTATGGAACCACAGAAGTAATTTTTGAAAATTCTGGAAGAAGGTACTGGAATAGTGATTGGGAGAAGAAACCCAAACCAACCTAATTATTTTCTCCCTGGATTTTGTTTAAGTCTTCAGTGGATACTATGCAATTAGCAGAATTCCAGTCATAAAGGCACACGAGAGAGAAGTGGGGGAAAAAATAAAATTCATGCTCACAGAAACCAAGTGACATGGCACAAAGAATAAAGTAAAATTCAGCAGAAATCTGATTGTAGTTTTTAAATGATTGATCTTCCTTTTAGCTGGACCAAATCTCTCCTTTCCCTCTGTTAGTCAAGTTTCTCTATTTTATTCCATCAGAATCACACAAGTTCTTACCATTATCCCAAGAATCTTAAGTAGTAAAGGCAAAGTTATTTTTCTAGTCTTTCCTGGCCTTTGTTATAAGATTCTTAATACAGTCTCCTATGCTTTATGCGACCCAACTTTAATTCTTCACATTTATCGTACCAGGTGTTAGGAATAAAAGTAAGGGATCCAAATTTGTCAGGCACTTTGTCACTGAACTGAACTCACTGACTGACTGGTAGAAGAATTAGAATTTTCCTAGTAAAGAAGAATTCAAAAAAACTTCGGAATTAATCGTGATGATTGCATATAAAATATTTACTCCATGATTATTTTTGAAGATAAAAATTGGTCTATAAAATCTTTAGTATCTTCTGCTCATTTGCTGTGACAGCTTAAGATGCTGGAAAAAAATATTATAGAATAGCATTAAAATATACACCATACCATTTTCAAGTTTGCTTTTCGGGTGTGGTCCACTAAATGCCAGAAATTTTCCTGGAATGATCCAGTTGAAGTCACCATTTTCTACTCGCTACAAAAGTTTCAGGAGAGAAAAGCATTTTGTTATCTGTACATACAGATTTCATTTTATTTTACTTTTTACTATGTTCTTGCTGCATTAAAATAAAACACTTAACTAGCTTACCTATAAGGAACAAACTAGTCATACACTGCTTCTTAGAAATCTTAACAAAACAAAATAACCTGCTTATAAAAACACTGACAAACACCACCATTCTTGTATGCTTTAATCAAATAATATGGAAAAATGCTTCCCTGTACAGCACTGGCTAAAAAAACCCAATACACAGAAAACAAATTCAAAACCAATTACCCTTCCCCTGCAGAAACTGGAATTTACATACTCATGTAATCTCTTGATGAGCCAGTAATCACAGAAGCAAAGCATAAATCAAATAACAAGACTAAATTAAAAAATAAAACCAAACACTTTCAAACTTTGATGTTTAGCATTTCTTGCTAACTTTTAAATGAAAATGTCAAAATCAGTCAGTGCCAGAACTGGAAGCTTCTTTGGAAATACTTAAAGTTGCTAATTTTTTCCTTTTTTTTAATTGATGAATGGTCATTCCTCATTTGGCAATGCAGTTATTCTCAGCATGACTTTTAAGTTCAACTGAATTATTAAGCCTGTGTTTTTAGCTCTCAGCAAATCAAAACATCCTAATGAGTGAAAGATCGTGATAATGGATGTTACTGTAATCAATTCACCAACTGTTTGCTTAGCAAAGCCCATTAGGCTTGCTCCAAATGTCCTCAGACTGTGACAACTCCTGTAAGTTAACAAGGTTGCATAAGGACTTCTGAATCAATCTTAGTGCCAAGTCAGGACTCCTCACACTCCCAGATTTGTATCACAGACTGCAATGTCTACATTGTAGCACCTCTACCCTATTACCAAAGAAATCCTGTTTAATACATTAGAAGTATTTTTATATTTCTATTACCAGTTTCAGTTGTGAATTAAGTAGCTCTTTATAGTTACATAGGTTTTGTGAATAATTTAAATTTTAACCAATCTGCATGTGTATATATATTCAATACAACATGCAGACATTATTTAAAAATATAATTTAAGTATTTTTACATGTAGTCCAACAAAAGGGAAATTAGCAGCCTTGATAATGTGGTAAGATGGAAGAACTATGACAATGACTTAGAATTCCCTTTAGTCTGTTTCCTTTAAGTTGTATGCAACTTCTCTTCACATAATTACACATTTGAAGATGTAACACTGAAAATCTTGGAACATTTAAAGTTCTAGAAATATCGCACAAGACATATCTAAACAAACAGAGCTGACCATGATGCATAAAACAATAGAAGACATACCAAAAAATGGACAACAAATTAAGAAGTATTCCAAGTTCTTGATTCTTAAATTCAGACAGTGCACAGGATACTTTAAACATCAATTACTTACACACAGTCTTCACAAACTAAAATAATGTTAAACATTAAAGAGGAGAACAGGATAGCTTTGGCCAATTATTTTAATACTTCTGTCAGGCAGATTAACCCCTATTATACACACAGATTCCTAATACATAAGCATAATTTGGTTTTAGAACAAACATCTTCCTTTTGTACACAGAGTAAGCAAAAAAGTAGCACTGGCATACCTTAAATATTAATTACTCTTAATTTAATTTTGCTAATTTATACCAATTTCTCAATCTAATAATTATGGAACATTGTAGTACACAGAAATCCTTCTACAAATGCTTTTAAGTTTTATGAATAGCTATATGTTACAGTGTGCCTATTGCAGCCAAGACCTACTGTATAGATTTGTGTTGTAAATTAAGTTTTTCCCATTGTGTCTTCCTCTCCTGAGCTTACCCTCTTTTTATAAAGCATTTTCTATTGTTGTAGGTATTTAATACATATACTGGGAAACCCATACCTTCTTACTTATAAAACAAGTGAGATACACAAATGTTTTTTCCACTCCTCTTGGGTGGACAATCAGACTTTGTGATCTTAGTGGTCTTTTCCAACCATGATGAATTTTGTGATTCTGTGAAATGTTAGAGATTCAGAAGCTATTATCCCTAAAACTTGGTTAATATTAGAAACATCTAACTTCAGATAATATATTTTAAAATGGACATTTCCAGACTGAGCAAATTTCTTCTCATTATTTCTAAGTTTTCTGAAAATTGCAAGAGAGGGGCTGGGGGGCCAGTAATGGCTACAATAAGGTAACAGATCTAAAAAGACTGAAATATTTAGTCCACCTCTACTTTATGTATCTTTCTCCTTAACCAGTGCAACTGCAGAAACAAGGTCCAATAATACTACATGGTTTTTACTGACTTCAGTAAAAAACCTTTTCCCCCTTGAGTGTGTAAAGTGGTTGATAAATACCATGAAACTATTCTGGACCAGATGTATATACACCTCTATGCCTGTGATTTCCTCTGCATGCAGCCCAGTTCACAGGTACAGCACAGACAGCAATATAACTTGTGGTAACTGTCTACTACTAGTAGAAAAAAGTGTGTATGTTACTGAAAAAAGTCCTAGAAGCATCTAGAGTTATCCAGAATATCTGCTTCTTGGAGTTGTAAGAAAGCTAGCAGAACAATGAATGACATCTGCTAGCTTTCTGGAACTCGATTAGGGAAGTATTTGGGATGTATTTTCATTACTAGCATCTCCACATAATGCATCCTTACTAAAATACCTCTAATGTGGTCAATCTATGTGGCTATAACAAATTTAGCATATATTTGATCCAGGAAGCAGCTCAACAAGTGTTGAAAGAAGAATATTTCTGTGGGTCAGCTGAGTGACCTAGAATCATAACCTGGACGAAGGCTGGGAAAGCATGAAAGACATCCCAGAAGCCAAAAAGGCTACAAGAAAACAGCAAACTTATTATGCAGTTGCAAGGATATTCATCTGGCATGTTTTTCACATACAACTTACAGGCTTGGATGTGCATACTTGACATATGAACACTGGGTTTTACTTGAATAAAAATGAGTTTCCAGCACGTTTTGTGGGATACTGTAGAGTTTAATTTATTTTAAGTAAACTAAATGTATGTAACTTATTAAATGTACAAACCTCATAGTGTTCATATTCATCCACATCAAATGTCTTAAAGTCAAAAAATCCATGCTGCAAAGCCTAAAAGGCAACAAGGTGTCAGTTTATTCTGAAATATAACATATAAACCCATTTTTAAATAATGTTTTTGAGAATTAAAACTATATCACTAAATGTGCTTTGGTCTTATTGAAGCCTCTATGTAAGACAACACTACATTTTGCACAGATTAACAACACAGACAACAAAAAACAACAATATTACTAAAGTATGTCAGGCTTATTATTTCCCCTTCAAAGACATCATGATGGGACATAAGGTTGTTGCATATCACTTAAATAATAAAATTGATTCTCCCCACTGCATTGTTTTTTTTTTCCCCATAAGGCAGTTGACAAATTAAAAGGCAATTCCCTTTTTGTCATACACTCAATTATTTCTATGCTGAATACATGTAATGCAGTTGGACACAACAAAATATAGAACATTATGAGTTTAATGATTTTCTGTATTTAATATGATACTCTGATTTTATCACCATAATACCCAGGCAAAATGACATATACAGAATACAGTACTGTGTATAATCTGCATTTTATTGTTTTTAATGAACATCCCACTGATAGAATGAAGTTCAATTCACTGACCAGCCAGCATTTATCACAGGATTGAAAGAAGTCAAGCTTTGTATTTCATTACTACTTTATTAAATATGCCAATTTTGTACTCAATATTTGTGTACAATATCTTATTGAAAACAATTACATGTGTAAAGAATAGCCCAAATTTATTCTAAGAAATAGGTACGAAATAATTCTTCAGCATATATTTATATTGAGTCTACTGCACTTAGAGAAGTATAGCTATTACACAATATTCTGGGATTAAAGTGTGAAAAAAAACACAGCACAGATCTATGATTTTAAAAACAATCAGTCCACCATTATTTGCTACATACAGACAAAACTAAAATAGCTTTGCTATAGACAGCATATGCTCCATGACCAGACCTGTCAAGAAATCTAAGATACTGAGAGATTTGTCTGAACAGCTGATTTTGAAAAATGTATTTCTTTTAGGCATGGCTGGATGTACTCCAGAACTTGTGGGCTTACTGAATTATATGTGTACAATATACATGCATGCAAACACTAAATTTACCCAGGTAGATTAAAATTTTACTTTAGATTAAGGCCTACAGTTTCTGCTCTACGTGCTTTTACCTCTGTAGGCAAACTGGACAAAAATTCAATAATAAGTTCTATGGGAACAAAGGAGGATAATTTATTCTTAGTCCTTTTAACAAGTTTGTTGCAGATAACTTGCAGTGACTGCACTGACTGCTTCAGAGAGCTTCAGGATCCGTAGAATGTCACACAAATTACAGTCTTGCTCTTAACTGACAGCTTCTTTCCCACCTCCACAAAACTAAAAATGTTAAGCTCGATCTCTCTTTTTTCAGTTTTTAAGAAACACTTGTTTTGCCATACTTCTGAGAACTATAAATAAGTCTGTGAAGTGTCTGTACAGAACTGTTCATATAGCCTGCTCCCTTCATTAAGACTACTGGGAAATGATGAACAAAATTTAATCTTTGCTTATAGTATGGAGTATATACTACATACCAGGTAGCCAATTAAGACATGATGTAACATTTCAAGAAAAAAACAATATTGGAGCTTAATAATCCCCAGGACCAGGGTTAACATCACAACACTAGTAAGATACATACATTTTCATCATTTTTTTAAAAAATTCTGAAAATTTTTGTCAGATACTGAACCAAGTGTTCTGTGGAAAAGTTGTTGCCAATTACATGCAAAAGCTGCTCAGATTAAATCACAGTATATCTAGGTGTCTTGCTTGATTTATCAACCTATGTTATTCTTTTTTACCAAATGATCTGTTAGCAGACCTAGTACACTGCCTCACACTGTTAAGAACTGCCCCCAGCCAGCCTGGTGCATTTGCACATTGCGATTCACAAGGTGAAGTTCAGAAAACTGTCCAAGGTAAAAGCAGCCAGGTAAAAGTGTAACCTTCTGCCATTGTCACTATTCAAACACAGCCCTCAGTAACTTAGGCTTCATGACATCATACTACTAATTCACACACATTTTGCTTTCAAACCAGATTTTCTAATGTATTTTCACATTTTAGACGTAAATTTAAATCTGTTTTGCTAAGGAAAAGTGTTATTACCTTATTTACTCCCTGCAAACAGTCCAAGATCGTAAGATTGTATGTGCTGTTCCCAAATGAAGCATCCCTATAGATTTAATAAAAATTAATTTATTATATATATATAATTACTTTAGGAATTGGGGCAAAGGTAGCAGCACACAGAGCATCATCAAGTTACCCGATCCTATCTGAGAAATCTGAATTGAGGTTTGAAGAAATCTTTTCAGAAGCTTGTTCATGCTAAAGCATTCCCCTACCAAAGATATAGCTCAGTGTAAATGTAGTTAAATATTGCAAATTATTTCAAATGCATATTTTACATCATTCAACTAAAAGACCTCTACCAAATTATTTATGTTGTCCTGGAACAGGAAACTTTGCATCCTCTCCCAGTTCTGTAAGCATAGTAACAAATAAAGCAAAACTTGCTCTAACTATTATTCAAGTCTTAATTGAGTTACAATGTCAAACAAAACTACTAGTTTGGATTTCATTTACAGGCTCTAGTTTTGATGCCACATTACAGATATGATTGAATGCAAAACTATTTGACCTAGTTCTGCTGCTATGAAAATAACAATTGCTCTTTAAAAGATGACAGGATACCTCAAAGCAAAATATATTCAAGTAGTAAGAGACACCAACACAAAAATAAATAACATCACCAAAAACCCCAGCATGTATAATGTATAGTGTAATATGGCTAGTGTATAGTATGGATAACGTATAGTGTAAAATGTATAGTGGAAAAAGCGCTTTTCAAAGCCCACTTCAGACCAGTTCACATTTTAACAAAATTCTGCCTGGGCAGATTATTTCCTAATCACTCATTAAAGGAATCTTTTACAGTTTTGCTCTAAACTATCTTATCCAGAATCCTAGGAGCTGCAATTTATTAGAATGGCAAAATTCTAGGTTTCTGGCAGATACATCTTTAATTGATAAATTATTCAAAATGTTAATATTTCATTCAAAACTTTCTTTTTCTAAAAGTTTACTTAATAGCATGAAATTTTTATATTTATATGCTCCTTTAATCCCAAGTACTTGAAGAGCAGATTATTCTCAATAATTCTTTAAAAGCAGAATAAGTAGAGCAGTTTTTTGCAAGCAGTGTTTATAGAAAATGTAATTTATGAAAATTCAAAGCTACAGATTAGGTAGTATCATATATACAGGCAGGCTACTCTAGGAAAGCTTTCAAGTTATTAGATTACTAAAAAATACTTAACCACAATGTATTAGAATGGGAATTTTGAAGTGTGAATAAACCTTTCATTTCCAAATCTAACAAAGAAGATTTTTTAAATGAAAAGCCATTGAAGTATTTTTGTTACATTAGATATGCAGAACACATCACAGCTGTAAAATATAAACTTTACAGACAATACATTTTTGACAGGACAAAGCTCGATAACAGATCATTTAAGCACAAAAGCATTTTAGCAAAAAAGGTCTTCTGAGTAAAAAATCTTAAGGCCCTGATGGGAAAAATACACAGCAGAAAATCTTTAAAAGCTGTTAAGAGTTTTCTGAAGGTGCTGACAGAAACAACAAAACTTAGAACAATGTAGAACACAAAATTAAGTATTCAGGAAAAAAATGAAGACTATTATAGTAGACATGTTCCATATATAATGTTATTTTGTTATAACAATAATAGATTTTTTATAACTTTTTTACTACTGCCTCAGTTAATAGGATATTTGATACTGCAGTACATAAAAACAATACTGGGGAAAAAAAGGCACCGTCTCTAAACCATTAATAGTTAGTGCTCTGACAGTGAGAGAGAGAAGGGAGAGGAGAGAGGGAGGGAGGACATTGAACTTGACCTAGATGTACAAGATAAGCCTATCACAATTGCAGGTGCACGGTATTCTTAGCTGCAGTTCCCACAGACTGCTGTTACCAGTGGAGTGCACAGATGCTGGCAGCTAACATTTATTGCCTACCTCATCCATGCCTCAAGTGTCTCATTTCTGTTGCTGTGCACCTCACCACTAAAGCAGCTGTACTGACTGACGGGAGAAAACAATTCTGCCAACACTTGCATCCACACACAGTGTGGAAATAATAAAAAAGATTGAATGCCAGGGAATTCCTAATAGGCAACATTTTGGAATGAGCACTTAAAAAAGCCATTTAAACTTGATCCCAAATTCCAAGAAACTCAAAGAACAGCAGTATTCAAATGTAGGGGTTTTTTTCCAAATAAATGCAACACAGAGTTAACATTTGAAAAACTCACATGCCCATCTTTCTTGGTAGCATACAATAATGTAATGAAACTGTAAACAAACACTAGGTATGAATGACAGAACAGCACGTTACTGAGATAACACCTGGAAGAAGTGGCTTAATATTGCCTAATACTTCAAGGGAAACCATGATGTTTGATGAACCACGGCAAAATCTGAGCCTATGATGTCAGACCTTGCCATGATCTCTCTCCCCTCCTCTGACCCTCAAAGTATCTTCTGGTAAGAAAACACAAGCAAATCATAAAAGTTCCTTCTATCATAATTTGGAAAACAAGAAAACAGAAAACTGTTTAGTTTTGTTTGGCTTTTTTTTTTTTCCTTGAGGCCACAGTCATTAAAAGTCATTTCAGACATTCCTCCTATTTAAACCTATTCTTCTCCTTTATCAATTGTATACACAGTGTTCTATCCTACAGACAACTAATACATGTGCTTACTTTTACAACACTACTAATTTTTTAATTGCTGGGACTACTTATAAAACAAACTACTTATATACAAAAACATTTAGGTGTTTTTAATCGGTGAAAACCAAGTTGCTTGGATTTCAAATGTTATACCTTCCAAGTTGAACAAAAAGAAGAACAAAACAGAGCAGGTACAGACATTTGCACAGTTTTACAGCATAGGTGCTACGATTTCTGTTGCTGATCATGTTTCATTACAGTACTCTTTTGTCTTTTATGGGCAAATGCATAACCACCTTGATTTTCAAACAGTATAACCTGATAGTACTCTTTTTTCAAAATTAGAAAAATGTGAGCATTTTGATGAGACACAGATGGAGTAAGTATCTGAGCGGGCATTACAGAGCAGCAAATCCCACATCCCATTTCACAGTTATTGTAGCTGACCTCAATACTGCACAATGCTTTCCTTTTCACCAAACCTTTAAACACTGTCAAAAACAGTTTGTTGCCTCAGCACTTGCCCATAAAGAAACAAAACCCAAAAGCTACAAACTAAAATCTAGCTCTGAAATTCATGCCATCCCTAGAGACTGAACACAGTAATATTGAAATACATTTTTTTCCCTCTTTGATATAAAGTCAATACAGAGTAATTTTGAGTAAAAAGTCTGAAAGTTTCACAATACAAAACTGGTTTTTATGATAATTTAAAATAGTGTTAGCACCTTTTTCTTCAGTGGAAGTGAGAAGATACAAGATCTTCAAGCGGCTAGAGCATCATCAAGTGACAGTGAATCAGGCAAAAATAGGATTAAAGTGTATCAAATACAGTAGTGCCTTCCCCTCCTGGTTTGTCTTTTTCAATTATAAAACCCAAACAATTTCCATTTATTTTGTAAGATGAGTACTCTGACTTCCTTCCACTCTGGAACAGTATTTGCTGAAGCTGTCTTTAAATGAAATACCAGCTGAAGATCTAAGCCGATTAATGTGTTTTGAGGTCACTGAGCTAGATGAAAGTAGATCAGTTTCCCAGTGTTCACTTCCTGCAAACATACCTCCGTACTCCATGAAGAATCTGACAATGCCACAGCTTCTACTTACTGAAAGTTGTCTATTTTTTTATTCAAATGAAAGATAATTCATATAACTAATTACCAACCTTGTTAATTAGTCTAGCTGTAACACTTATCTGATCATTACTCACTGATAAACCCTTGTACTTGAAACTACTCAAATGGAGATGACCTATACTACAGAAGTCATAAAATATCTAAGCTGCGGGTTTCAAGAATAAATTCAAGTCACTAAGAACTGAATACTAATGATGAATCTCTCAAAGGATTTCCTTTCTAGACCTTAGAAGAGGAGAGAAGAGATAAGGCATTTGGTTTCATTGTTTTCCAACATTTTTCACTGTACCTAAGAGTCATTTTAGCTCATTTCAAAATACTAAACATGTGGAGTGCAATCTCTCTCAGAGCACCAACTTTTTTCTTCACAGTATAGCTTGATAGCAAGCAAATAACACTCCCTAAGGCAGTGCAACTGATTTCAGCAGAAGTTTGTTTGCTTGAGACTCAGTATCATGCTATACTTTGCACCAGAGATACCTCAAACACCCTAGAACAGTCAGGAGGAGAAAAATATCAAACACCTTGAAAAACCAGGTAAGGAGGAACAATTTTTCTTCCCTATTTCCAGCTAATCTAGATTGTTTCACTGCAGGTGCCCATCAGATCTACTTGCCCTTCTCTCTGCCCCAGTAATTCTCAAGCTCCTTAAGCATATATTCCAGCTTCTTCCCAGGAATTCAAATCCCAAATACCCCCTTCCCTAACTACCAGACTCCACATTTCTTACCTAGCCTCCTATCTTGTCAGAATCCTTCAGTTTATTTCCTCACTCTTCTTCGTCTCACCTTCTGTACAGATTGATCCCACAGCCTTCCTTTCCAGCAGGACAAACTGTACAGCAGGTAGCAGAATCTGCTGAGATGCTAATCCAGTGCCAAGACCTGACACAGTCCAAAGGAGCTCCAAAAGAAACTTACATGCTTTCCAGTGCCACATCATGTAAGAATGAACACTCAAGAAATCAAGATGTCTAATTCTTCTAGCAAAAGCTCATAATGCTATACTCCTTCTAGAAACACCAAGGCTCTGCTCAAATAGATTGCCTCCCTCCCATACTTAAAATAGTCAAAGCTTTGCATTAAAACAAAATCCCCTGCAAAAACATACCAAAACCCCAACCACATCACAGAAAACCTACCAAAAAAACCAATACAATCTCCCAAAAAAGCTTTAGAATTTAGTCAATCATTTATCTCCCAGCAACCCAGGGCTTGAAACACACAGGCAAAGACTGCAGAGGAGGAGTTACATTTCAGAAGACTGCCTACACTATGTATTTATTGCCCCTCTTCTGAAACTGACAAACAGAATGAAGTTATACTTCTGTAGTAACTTTGAAAACACAGACTGCAAAAAAACCTGAGTTGTTGCTCTGCTGGACATTTCTTCTTCAATGTTTTCAGTTAGTATTCTGTCCCCTGGGAAACATGAAATACTCTTTGTATTAAGCTATTTTTTACTGTGGTTCTTACCACCCTCACAAGATATCATGGAGCAAATTACTTCCACTACTCCCTACCAATCAGGCAGAAATAGTATTTGTTATTATTGTTACTACTGTCATCATCATCGTTTTTATTAGAAGGAACTGGTTGCAAGACAAGCTTTTGAAACCTTTGGTCTGAGCAAATAGGGTCCCATGAGACTGTGTGGCAAACAAACCATTCCTCCCAAGTTTTCTGCCTTACAATTTTAGGATCTGACAGCTAAGTTTCTTTGCTTGGTCAGAACCTCTTTACTTTGGTGGGGGAGAAAGGAACATACAGACATAGCAATTTACTATAATTCCAAATGGTAATTTTTTTTTGATTGGTGAACAAGATACAGCTATTCTCAGGTAACACACACCCTCCACTACTGAGAGAGTTTTGCTTTTTAAGCAAGAGTTGAATAAAATAAGCTTAAGATTCTGAGAAATTTCAATCACTAATATTAAAAGCTCTTACATAAAAGAAATCTTCCTGTCAAAGTTGAACCACTGATAATTTGACATGAAAGGGAGAATCAGGCTTTTTTAGACTATATTCAAATGCTATGTAGTAATCCCCAGAAGAAAGGGAAATATTGCAGGGAAATATTTAACTTTCTGCTTCCCCAAAATAAGGAGACAAAAGAATGTATTGACACTGTTTCCATGCTTAGAATAATGAATTTGCTTCAAAGAAATTCTGGTAGCAATTTTTCAATAGCTCAACTTTCCATAAATGGAAAGGACTAGTGTAATTATTTCAAACTGGGAGAAGATCAGGAACCAAAGAACCTAAAAGGTGAGCAAAACTATACATTATTCTTTGTTTAACTTACATTATCACTCCTGTGCTTTATATAGAATTTTGAGATATTAAAAATATATGTTTATAATAACTGATTTTTTTAAGGTACTGTACCAAGTACCTTTCATAATTAGCTGAAATAAATGTAATTCAGTGAACTTCTTGGCTTTGGACAGCCATTGATAACCAAGTGAATGTATAAACTCCCTGCCCATAAAATCACTGATTTAATAAGTGTTCCAAAGCTTATGATTTCAAAGTCAAACTGATCTTCACATGCAAATCCACCATCCCAACAGTTTATACTGTAGCTGGCTCCTGGACAAGCTATGAGAAGAGAGAAAATCCAATCTTCCTTTGGTAAGTGGTTGCAGGATCAGATGATTTGATATCCACAAGGTAGGTTTGCATTTACAAATGCACTGACTGACAGTGAACACTACTTGTAAAACACTGACTTCCCTAAATATAAAGAGGACATTGACCTTCTTCAAGTTTCCTTTTCTGTTTGCATAAGGATAGTATAAGGTATTTTTACTCATAAGGTCCAAAAGGCATTTCACAATTCACACAATGAAAGTAATCTGCAAGTCTCTTTATTGAATAGGCATGATAGCTAAAGCTCCTCAGATTCAACTTTAAATATGACCTTAGTACAGTGAATAAAAACAGATTGATAGAAATTATCTATGATTCGTTGAAAACACAAAGAAAAAGCAATTAACAACTGGAACATCAGTACTAGTTCTGTAAAATAGAGAAAATATAACAGCATGAAACTCCCTTCATTCATAAGTCTAGCTGGTTAGGTACTAGGAAATTTAAGGGATCTGAATGACTCCCAAATAGTAAATCATAATACATGATACAGAAAAGTTTTAATTGCTAAATCACAAACATGCTAAAGAACTAGTTTCTGAACCTGACAGTTTGCAGTACAGGGAGTGTTATTTAAACTTAAATCAATAGAAATGCCTTTATTATTCCAACACAGATCAAGTAATTCCAACATAAGTAAAAAATATTTTTCTGGAGATTAGTCATTTTGATAAAATATCTGCATCAGATATGGAACACTTTTCTGGAAAGGCAACCTAAAAAAAAAATCGTATTTTGCAAATTCCAAAAGCCAAGTTAGGTCCATTTCACACATTTACATACCTAAATGGAAGATACGGTGGATTAGATCCAGACAAAAGTGTTCTGTAAGCTTCTTCTGGCGTCTTCTTCAAGTATATTACCTAAAGAGAGTGTAGGGAGAGGTTAAAAAAATAAGCCACCTACCTGAAAAGTCATTAACCACATTGTACACTTCTCCAAGCCCACTAAACTCTTAAGATTGTATGCTATAGTCCTTCATTATCAACTCCTAATATTTTTAGGTCAGAAATTACATACCTATACAAAGTAAAAGACTCTGAAATTAACAGAAGCTGGGATGTTTGTGTCATTCCCCCCTTTAAAAATCAATAAACATACTGCTGCAACTGAGAGACTTAGTAAGATGAAAGAAAAGGTATCTATGCTGGGAGCTCTCTGTCCAGCTTCAGACAAGTCAAAATATTACCACAGCAGCCAAAAAAGGAAACATTTCTCCACCAAAGCTCAATGGAAGATTTTTCCAATACAAGTATTTTTTTATTCCTAATTGTCATTATCAAACTACTAATAAACAAAAATATCCAATTCAACAAGCTGAACCTATTAATGCAAGACCAATATACAGTTAAAGTAACGCCCTTAGCCAAGACTCATTCTGCTATCACTGAACACTATCAGCTCAGCTTACTTCACTAAGAAGTTAGAATATAACCACAACTTTTTGCATTTTAATACTTACTTGTACAGTAAAGCTGGCCATAAATGAATTTAACTTGGAATACCTATTAAGAAGGTGCATTATTAAAAAAAAATAATAAATTCATCCACTTTGGAGTGGCACATCTCTCATGTGCAAAAACATGTTTTTTCAAAGCCACACAATTTTCCTAGGCATTTTCCCCAAACTCACCTTACAACAAGCACCTACACAGCTATTTTATAGCTCTACACATATTTGTTTCATTTAAAGTATTCTAATAACAGTTGTCTTAACTAAGACATAGGCTAGTTTCTAATCTAAAAGTTGAATAAATCTTTTGCCCTTGAACATATTAGAATTCTTCTCTTACAATAGTCATTTTACACAGGACAAAGTTCATCCTTATTGGACCCAATGCTGTTTAACAACTTCGTAAGTGATCTGGATGTTGGGATCAAGAGCACCCTAATGCAGTTTGCTGGTGGCACCAAGATGAGTGGAGAGGTTGACACCCCAGAAGGGAGAGCCACCCTCCAGAATGACCTAGACAGGCTGGAGGAGTGGGCTAGCAGGAACCTTATGAAGGTTGATAGAGAGAAGTGTAAGGTCTTGCACCTGGGAACACATAACCCAGGAGTGCAGTTCAGACTGGGATCCACCTGAATTTGAGCAGTAGTGTGATATGCTTCAATTACAATAGAGCAAAGTCTCAAAACTTCATATAAGGCTGAGCATTTTAATTAATATTTTTTAATTACGGAAAAACACCCATGCTCTAGTAGTTTGCTATTACCCAGTTATGTGCTGTGATAAAATAAAAAACTTAAGAACTCAACAGCTTTTCTCCCTACTGGCATTACAGAAGTCTAATAAAAGCTATTACTATCAAAACAGAATCTTAAGGTAACTGTGAGAAAGAAACATGACCAGCCCATCTACTACCTACAAGGAAAAGAAAAAAGAGCTTGCTGGATCTCTTTTCAGAGTTTGTCACAGTATGAAAGCATTAAGTTTCACCAGGACTGCTCCAAAGTCAGATTTTGGTCCACTAATCAAGTTTTGATCTTGGAAGAATTGCGAGATAACTACTACTTGTCTTCTACAAGGGTAGTGTCACTGCTTGTCTTAGTTTGACAACAATGCTCTTGATTCCCTCCTCCTCCCACCTAGGTAGGGAAGGAGAGATTTAGGAGAGAGATGCTCTGGATTGAAAACTAAACTAGACAGCTTTAATTAAACACCAATGATAAAAGAAAACATATACAATTATATACAAATGTATTCAGGAAATGTACAGAATCCCTATTGCCTCCCCCCATCCCGATCAACTCCCACAGCACTCTCCTTAGCTGCAAACAGTCCTGAAAAATCCTGGACTGCTGCTGGAGAAAGCACAGAGTGATGAGAGTCAGGAGATGTACAGCCTAGGGACTGACATTCATGGACAGACAGAGTCCTCCACAGACACCAGCCATGGATGGGAGAGAAGGGAAGAAGCAGGAGGGAAACTGTCTTCTGTGATCTCTGTCCTTCCTCTGAGTTTACATAGATACATGGAATGGAATATCTGGCCAATTTTGCTCTCTGTCTAACTCAGCCTCCTATGTGGGGAGTCATAGATCTCCCCATAGTGTCTGAGCCAGCAAAGTAAAGATGTGACTTTGAAGACAGAGCAGTTAGAAAAACATTCCATCATTTCTTATCATTCCTAGCTGGAACTCTCTGCTACTAGTTAAAACAAAGATTACTGAAGGGAAAAAAAAAAAAAAAAAAAAGGTATGTAGAAGGAAAATTATCTTCTTCCTGGCTCAAACCAGGACAGGTAGAATCAAAGCTCCATATTTATCAGAGAAGCAAGTGTAATAAACCTATGTTCTCTCTTCCCTCGTCCCAATTCTCTGCAGGAGCAGTCACTGGTACAAACAGATTAGTATTTCTCCAGCTCTTCTACCCAAGGAATTACTAGATCGCACAGTACACAATTAGGTAGGGGTTACTTACTTTGCAACCAGAAAAGAAACACAGAAAATACTGTAAGTCTATAGGAAGAGAGAGATACCCCTCAATTAATCCATATGTTATGAGACAGAAGAAAATGCAGTTTCCACTATTTCTCCAAGAATGAATTATTTGATGACACATGGGGAGTTCATGTAATCAGTTCAGTATAATTCAGTTAAACTTCCTCATTCTCACTCCTCTTCCCCCTAGAAACTTATAGGGACAAACCAGGATTTGACCAGAGTCAAATCAAGCTCCTTTGGTCCTGGTATGCAGGAAAATACTTCTAATACTACTCAAAATTGTTAAAGTCATACTTTTTTTTTATTAACTATTGTGGAAGACTACATAAAATCCCTAACAACTAAAATAAGTCTCCAAACAGATTAAGGGGAAAGTAAAGCAATACTAGCTTCAAAATATCTTCTGTGGCACCTGGTAATACTTGGAAAAACCTAGAAGCACCCTGTTTCTGACATCACTGAACAGTTTGTGTTGTAGTCTTGGCCATTTAGGAAAATAATGAAATTCTCTGTAAGATCAGAGGAGTCCACATGATCCCTTGTTCTGTAACCCTATAATTATTCTTTTTATTTCTTAACCTGAATTTTATTACAGAACCTTCTTTGCAGAATTCTACAGAGCAAGGTCAATAATTTAGCAACTGGTCATGATCAGCCCAAATGTACTGGAAGTTCCCTGTAAAACTGAAACAGAAAACACCTATTCATTCCTGAGATGCAATTTTCAAACATGAAAGCTACTGCCAGTTAAGGTTTAAGACTTGACTTTTGCTTAAACTTATGACTCTCTTATTAAAATACTGTAATAGCTATGGGGTATTTCAGTTCAACATGTCTAAGCAGCTGTTTAATGGAACATTCTGAATTGCATAATCACTACTGGAAATCCATTCTTAGAACCTGATCCACTGTTTTCCACGTTTCATTTTACACTTAATGTTTTAACACCAGGACAAATAAAACAAGTCTTCTCAATTAACTTTCATGCATTGGTATACTTCATAGTTATAAGACCTTCTGGTCTCAAAAAGTTTGTGCAATCAAAGAAAATATGTAAAATCTAGAAGATGTTAAATCAAAGTGTACATATATTTCAGTCACAATTTGGATACTCAAATTGTAATAGATTGAATTGTCAGTTCTTTTACTGACTATGATTAGATTCCTTCAGGTCAGGAACCACTCTATCGTGTAACCCAAGAGTGTACCTCTACTGCACCTGGATGAACATAGCATTCACAAGTAAGACACTCCAAAAATGCAAATATTATTTCTTGACTGTGAAATGAATATGTCTGGATTATAAAAGCTAATTCTCTGTAGTACAAAACCAAAATTTCTATTATTTTAGAAGACTATCATAATACTTCAAGTTTAGGAATGCACATCTATAGAGAAAATTCTGGGATGACATATAACATATTTGGTGCCTTTGTGCAAACTGTTTTCCCATGTTACACTAAGTTGATATGAACTGGAAAGTGTTCTCAACAAGAGAATGAATACTTTTTCATACTGTTAACACTGTATTAGCAAACAATTATTCTGGTTACATAGTATCTTCAATAATCAGAAGATACAACACCTATTAGTCTGACAGAACAAGAGTATCAAATGCAGATGTGGATCACGTGCATATGCTTCCAATGAAGACCTATAAGCATCTTAAAACAGGCTAGGCAAGGGGCACATGTGCATGCAGTACACTAATTTACCTTATTGTTCACATAAGCTACCTACTCTTTATGTGATGTGCTGATACCTATTAAGGAGCAAATACACAATCACGCAATGATACACATACTATGTGCTCCCCTGCTTCACTTTATCTTTAGAGGCATTTCTGCAACCCTCCCCACCCCGTGCATGCCCTACCTCTTGTTTTAGCTGCTGAGCAGCTCCTTCAGATAAGGACTACCAAATATTACCAGACCATCCACGTGTTTAAGTCTTAAATACTGCAAGTATGGCAGTCTCACTTAGCTGATCACTCCTCTGACTTGGAGCTCTCTCTTGCACCTTACATACCTCCTTACCCTTCTGTTCCTACAACCTGGCTTTGCAAGAACTTCTCTTTACAGACAGGAGCGCTCTCTCCTTGGGTCTAGCTAACACTGATATGGGCCTTTTAAGCCTTTATCCACAGAGAAGAGATACTGAGATGAGACAGTCATATAACAAGGACTAGACAAGGAGAATTAGAAGGTAATCTAATCTCCTTCAAAATGCCAGTGTCCTACCCTTTCTGTTTTTAAGATGTATCAGAAGGTGAAGACGGGATCAGACAAGGGCAATCCAGTGAAGGTAATTAGATGCTGTAATCTACATACGTGCTAGATGAGTATTCTCTAGCTATAGACTTAATGAGACCAGCTTTAAAACAAAGTGAATCTTTCTAAATACAGAACTGGAGATACAATGATGAAAACAAAAAAGTGGTCTGAAGAGAACAGCTGAAGACTTTACAAATTAGAGTGTGGAAATGAATACTGAAGATGCTACAATTCCAACAGATTTTGGATCTGAAGTAACAGTAAAGCTTAAGAGACACTACCAAATTTGGAGGGTCCTTAAACAGAACATAAAAAACAATTTTATATTAATTCAAATGTTATTACAAATAGCCCTCTAAAAAATATTAAGAAACTTATATAACATTCTAACTTATTTGTTCTTACTACTCCTTTTGCTGCTCCATCTAGTCTACTCACAAGTATTAAAAAACTAACCCAAAGGTTTTTAAAATTTGAACTTACACCCATTTATTTTTTCATATTTACATTTAAATAGATATTTTTTTCTCAAGAGCATTTACACAGTATCCCTATCCTTGCAGTAAAACATTTTGTTTAATTACAACAATCCACAACCTGAATTATTTCAATATTATCTCCTGCATTTACTGCACTTTGCTTTCAACATGACCTTGGGCCTGAAAGAAACATACCAGCTTTCACATACTATAAAGTCTGACTTAACAAAGACCTCTAGAACTCAGCTGATTATGTGGATGTCTGCTCAGGACCAGCAGGTTGTTAGTTTCAATCCTTCATCAGCATAAAACATGCTACCACACAGACTCTGAGTTTCCTACAAGTGTGCTCCAATTCTGGACAGTAGAGCAGGAAGGTGAAATTGAAGTTTGAGCTACACTGCTATGAAGACACGCAAGTAGCTGTGCAGGTCTCAGCTTGGGACTATCGCAACATAGGTGACCAATCAGGTTTGTGTAACTAAGATGGTTCTGAACATTGCATATTATCTGTAATATCAGAAGGTTGAAATACTCCAATTTTTCTATTATTCTGGGTAGGCTATGAAAATTAACCAAGAAAATAAATCCACACAAGAATTGTTATGTGTCTGGTCTAGTAATTTTAAGAAAGGCTGTGAGAAAAAGCTCTCCCCCCCAGTATAAATCTCCCTAGTGCCACGAGCAGCAGTTGTTCCTAAGACCGCCAAGTTTAGAGGTAAGTTTGTGGTTTGCATTTTTGACATTCATGAAAATGCTATTCTATGAGAAACATGCACATGGTCCACCAAAGCCACTCCTTGTGTAGTGAAGTAAATGGAGTTAAGTGATAAAGTGCTTCCCTTAAAACTCATAAAGCAGAATTTTCAAAGACAGCGTAGAGAAGAATCAAATGACAATCTGCCTACCTCCCTAAAGGACCATCAAGAGATGCTATTTTACACATAGCAGATGCCTCTTAAGGAAGGTTAGAAGCATACATGTGATAAATAATACTTACAGCATATGCACCTATTAAAAACGCTGCATTCGCTCGTTTCCGCTGGTCAAAACTGGTATAATACACTATCTTCTTCCTTGATAGACTGAAATACTGTAAAAAAACAAAACCAAACAGACAGCATATTTACTGAAAGAATATATTTTAAAATACTTACAAAACTCACATTTTCAAAACCAAAAAGTAAGGCAGAAAAATTAAGTCTTTTTTTAAATTAAAGAGGAAAAAAAAAAATTACTGATCCTATGACCAATCTTCTTGCACTACAGATAGAAGTGCAGGGAAATAGCCACTGTATCAGGGCAGATGTTGTAAGTTTTCTGTGCAAAAATATCCTACTAAATGCAGTTTATCAAAATGTTCATTTTTTCCCAAATTTAAATATTGGAAGAATAGCTTATGAACACTGATCAAAGACATTGAATTTTTCAGACTAAAACACCCTCCTGTATGTTAAATCTCTTTTAAGCACATAATTCTGTGGAGAAGGCAAGAGAAAAACCAAAGCAATTCTGGGATGATCCCATCCATTCTTCTGCCTTTGGTCTTGATCCATGCATTCCTACATCCAGCTCCTGCCTGCTGCTGAGTCCAGGGGCACACAATATTGGTTTTGGATATATTTCTATATATTTCATTATTTTCTTTTTTATCATTACCATTGCACTGACGCTGTGTAGTTTAGATTCCCAACTGTAAGCCTCTGTCCCTTATTCTTTTTCCTGTCCCTTTCTGGAAAGGGAGAAGAGTTAATAATGGGCATTAGTCATTTGCCTAATTGCTGGGTCAGCATTAAACCACTCTTCCATCTGTACTACTTAAAATGGGATGACAGACATCTTTAGAAAGCTTCAACAGCAAAAATCTACAAGAAAAAAAAAAAAATAACCGCAGAAGTAAAAAGCCTGAAAAAAGAGGCTAGGCAGAAACAGAACAAGTAACACTTGCAATTCTTTCTTTAGGAAGAAAATAAGCCTCTGTCAGAATCCTGTGGACAAAACTCCCACGGAAAACAAGACCAACAAGCACCAGAAAAGAACAATAACAACAAACTGCAGCAAAACTACTAAAAGCCAGAAATAAAATTATCACTTTAAAAGAGAAAATTGGACACTTTATGGACTTTTTTTTTAGCTTCATGAATTGCTATGCTTTCATTATATTCTGAAACACTACCACTATGTCAATTGACAAACTGAATTCTGTTTCTAAATCTTTGAAGCACATCTCTATTTTTAAAATTGCACATTTTATAAACTGCCCTTTTACCAATGCTACTGGCACCCAACTTCAGGTTTTTAACTCAAATTTGACAACTTTAATTTACTTTTCCTATTCTTGGCTTTGATGACACCTGGGGGCTGGAGATACATTAAATAAAACACAACTTTGCAGCACTTAAGTCCTGTCAACTGTATTTCACTTGCACAAATCTGTAAACATTAGCAAAAAAAAACAAATTTTGCAAGAAAACAAAGACTTGGTAAAACCTGGAGAAAAATCAAAGTATGTATCATAGCCAGCATCTTACTCCTACCTCACAAAGAAATAACACCGTTAGTAGCAGTTCTAACTGTACATTCCTGTCTGGTCTTATTATCCACAATTTCCACAGGTGGAAGGAGTAAGAATTACTGCAACTGAATATATCTAAGTAGGACTGTGAATCCCAAGATAGCTCATTACTGTTGATTGGAAGAGGTTGTATCTTGAGACCAACAGCAACATTTCCCTCAGTGTACAGACAAAAGTACAAAGCACAAGTAGTTATTTAATTAGTGAAGCATTCAATTGTTACTAAAACTTGACAAAATTAATCCCAGTATTTTAAGATTCCTCCTTTCTTCCCCCTCCTCAATTTTTTAATTTTAGTGTTCTCTAACTGCAATTCCACCCATGATGTGTGGGAGGGATAAGATTACAGTAGTTATGCAACAGTGACAGAACTTCAATTATAACTTGTTGACTACTAATTTTAAAGCTAAGTTCTTTGCAACAGTTTACAGTTCACCTGAAATAACATTCTAAAACTGAAAAAAGCACATTCTGCTACCTAGTCAGAAGTTCTGTGTAACAAGACCATATTTCTTGTTTTGTTTTACAGAATGGCTTTTTTAATCATATGGGTATATCAAGTCATTCAAATGTTGAGATGCTTTTGTACCTGAAACAATAAAAAAAAAAAAAGTGACAGCTCACCCCAAAAGTTCCCAGAATATTTACATGAAAGGAGTATAATATTTTCATTGATTCATTTTCAAAATAAGGGTTTGATCCTTCAAAGCCATATTGCTAGATGAAATACTTACATGGTTTTTGAATCTTGACTGAAGTTTTAACACAAAATTGAATAACAAATACCTGTCAATAAATTTCTCAATACAAATTGTCTACACAATAGCTATAATTAGGCAACATAGAAAAAAAGATTTTGAAACTATGTTACTAAGACAAAACAAACACACAATAAAGACCTAAAGATATTTCTATTTTTTCTTTAGCAGTAAGAACATTTTAGCAGTTTCACACATAGTTAGAAGACAAGATGTAACAGTATAACAGAAGAGTATGTGTCAAGATATAACCCAGAGGAATATACTCAAAGACAATCTTTTGAACTAAAAGCAGAGATTACATGAAAAGCATGACAGGTTTTGTTTTAGGTGATAAAACTAATTCATTGTGTGTATGAGAGGATTACAGAACACACTTTCAGTCCGAGATTACTTTAAAAAAAATAATAGATAATTTCTTGTTTCTTGAAGATCTCAAGAGATATTTACTTGCACAGAAATTGATGACAGGCTTAGAGGGTGCCACTGTGTACAATTACTAGATTGCCATCTGTTTAGAATCACCAGATTATTTTACAGTATTTTACTTAATGGATATGGTTTAATATATCTGGACTGCTCATGCAAGAAATTACTGCAACGTGTTTAGTAAGTCTGCATCAATGGAAATACTATTTTTATATACACATGTGTATATACATGTATTATGTACATATAAATGGCAGTGAATATAAGGCTGGTAAACTGTTCATAGAAAATTGTGCATTATAACATGTACAAACAAACTACCTAAAAATTTAAGCTGTCCTAAAGAAGATACTTCCAGTTGTCATAGCTCTACGTGCATGCACTGCAGTTTACTCCGATTCAGCAGCAATACAGTTCACATACAAGAAATGTTAACCCATAGTTACTAAGTCTGCCAGACCTTTCCTCCTCCTGCCCTTGATCTTCTGCATTTGTATCATTTATCTCAACAACACTAGCTCTCTGATTATCCCTGCTTCTGGATTTATTGAGATTGTGTTAAGGCTACCCACACAGAAAACACAGCAGGTTTTTTAAAGCAGTTTTTATGAAATCAACTTATTTAAACCAGAAGAAAAAAAAATTTCAGAAATTAATCACAGTTGCTTAGTCAAGCATATTTTCCCCAAACAGAATTCAAACAACAAGTAGGAAGATGCACAGCCAAGAATTTTTTTCTTGCTGATGAATTGGCTAGTCAAGATCATCTCCATAGCAATCAGCAATCAAAACATTATAAATGTAACAAGGTCAGAAAGGTTTTCCTGTAAAGCATAACCAGGACTTGAGCTTCAACTTCCTCAGCAAATGGTTTCTGAATAAATTCTTCAGCTCATCAGAACAGAACTACTTACTCTTTTTAAAATCAGTCAGCATGAAGTTACAGTTTACTTTAAAATATTCACCTGCCATTAACACATTTCAAACTGAACCCTTCTTCCCCACTTGTACTCTGAGAAAGGAAAAGCACAAAAATACCTCCATGTCAAATTCCTCTCCCAGAAGAGAAACGGATATAGCTGAAAGACTTGAAGGGGCAGTTTATGGGCTCAGATTGTTTTTAAGAGATCTTACAATGTCATTTCTCCTGTTCCTACTCATAAAAGTTTTAAATTTAATAAAAGTCCACGGCAGAAACATCTCTGGGCTTAAGCACTGTCTTGCATTATGGCAACAACAACCATCCTGCAGCAGAGGCTGGATTTCCAGAGAAGAACAATCTGCAGTGCCTTTTGCTTCCT